CCCCAAAACCCCAAAACCCCAAAACCCCAAAACCCCAGCTCATTAATTCTAATTGAATATTAACTTATGTATCAGAAATCAAACTCAAGCTCAGAAAGTCTTCAAGATACAGCAAAAGACTTGTAGGTTTACCTTGAGACTCTTGTTTTTCTCTTTTGTTTTCTTCCAAAATGTAGATAAAGTTTAATTTTAGTTCTTAAAAGTATAACCTTTTACTAGCTTTGTAAAATTTGGAGAAGCAAAATCTTTCCAATTACTTCTTTTCTAATTTCCATATAGACACTAAGATCTATCTGACCAGTTTGGTGTGGTCTATGCTATGTTCTTCTTGCTCGGGGTTGGAGCTGTGCTGCCATTCAATGCAATAGTGACAGCTATTGACTACTTCTCTCAGAGATTTCCTACTAGAGATCCTGCATTTACATTTCCTTTGATCCTAAATGGGCCCCACCTAGTATTTAGCTTTGCCAATGTATTTTTGGCCAGTTTTCTCTCACTGAAAATAAGACTTGTAGCTAGTCTGATGTTTATCCTCACGATGCTGTTTGTGCTCCCTCTTGTGTCCAATTTCGTGACTGAGCCATTAGCATGGATCCTCGTCATATTAATCATCATTAGTGTCGGGATCGCAAATGCATTTGCTCAGTCAGGAATTTTTGGGTTTGCAGGAATGCTTCCTGAAAAATACATTGGAGCAGTCATGTTAAGAAATGGTCTTTCAGGAATTGTGATGAATGTTTTCAGAATGATTACTTTAGCTATCTTTCCTCCAGTTGAAGTTAGAAAGGGAGAAGTAGATATCTCTGCATTCATTGGGTGCCTTATTTACTTTGCAATTGCAGCTTTGGTTCTTATGCTATGTATCCTTGGATACTTTGTCGTCTGAAAAACCAGCTTTGCTAGACATCATATGTCTAAAATAAACAGCAAACAAGGAGAATACAGCACTGAAAAAATTGGAGGTTCTAATAACCCTTCTTTAACTCTTCATCGAAACATAATGTCAGAAGAAACAAGAGGATATTCAAAAATCAACACAAATGATACTGAGATGAACGGGCAAGAGCTAAATACAGAACCTAAGACTTTTCTCACAGTTTATAAAGAAGTTGGATTCATGGCTTTTCAGGTATTTGCTTGATTCTTAATAACATTTGTGGTATTTCCTGGAACTCACTTGAGCACACACTTCGACTTTATGGGCAACAGTCTAGCTGATCAAGCTTGGTTCTCAGTAATCATGATTACTTTGTATAACTTCTTTGATACTATTGGAAGATTTGCAGGAGGATTTGTGAAGATATTCTCTCCTACAACTATCATTTCATTGATTATCACGAGGCTGATCTTCATCCCACTATCGGTTCTAGTTCAGATAGGCTCAACACCAAGCTTGATATTTGAGTCAGACTGGTTCAGGATCTTAAACATGGCAATATTCGCTCTAACAAACGGTTATAACTCAACTTTATGAATGGTATATGGTCCATCATGTACAGATAAGAACAGCAAGGAAAGGGCAGGAATTATAATGAGCTTACACTTAGTTGGAGGAATTTTTGGTGGGTCTCTTATATCCTCATTCCTAATGACTCTGATTTAAAGGGTCTCCAAATATTATATTTCTGTTATATTCTGCCATCTGGGGTTTTGGGGTTTTGGGGTTTTGGGGTTTTTGGGG